GGGGGGGGAGGTCTCTGTAAAGTTATTGTATCCTAGATGTGGCATTTAGTAATTATTATTATTATTTAGGGTAAGGTATACCTGATCATTTAAGGCACCTTAAATAATGATTGGTCTGATTTTCATTCAGTGCTTCTGTTAATCTTGATGTCACCACCATGATTGCCTATGTATCTGCATTGACCAATGGAGGCTGTGGATTCATCTTCAAGGTACTGGTAGTGTGTTCTAAGTACAAGATTCTAAATTTTTTTGCATTATTTTGATTGCCATGGACTCTGATAATTCACCTAAGGATTTGTTAGGTCTCGTTTAAAAGACGGAATTAAGCAGATGTCTCAAGTTATCCAATTTAAGACAATTTTGTTACCTCAACAATCAACAAATGGAATATATTTTTTCATTTTGTTCTTTTTATTATAAGTAATTTTGTTATACACAGAAAGTGGGCTTAAAGTTCATGAGATATGAAAATTATGTCTGACCTGTAGTTAATTTGCTGAATTTCTGTACTCATTTACTTACTCTAGGAGGCCATTTTGACCAAACAAGCAAAAGAAGAACAGCATAATCCAGTACTTCCAAAGTTAAAGGCTTTCTTTAAAGGTCTAACTTAAGTATATGCATTTGACTAGGAATAGCTTTTTGATGTCTTTGTCATCAGTACTTGCTAACCAGTCAAGTTCAAATTGATTAGAAACCCAGAATAATGAGCACCAGTTAGAAACTTTGGCTCAGGGGGAGTAAAAGTGTTGTTCTCTGTTCAACTTTCTTCCTTGTAATTGAAGACAACCTCAAAAGTGTACACTCATTTACATAGCACTCCCAATGTATGTTTCCTGAGGGAGAGGGTGAACATCCTTGTTGGCATAAAAGTAAGGTGGTACTTTGTGTGCAGCTCAACAGCATTTGGTTCCTTATAGTCTTAATGGACCAGCAAGATTCTTGATTAGAAAACTTGACCAGGGAGTAAGGTGCAGGGTGTTTTCTATATTCTGTCTGGTATGGTGGATGGATATGGGGAATATGCCACAGTATTTATTTCCTTAAACAGGGCAGTGAAATAAACAGATTGTGTTCCATACAGGGTCATGGTTTGAAGACCCTAGTGGCACAATCTTTCTAAGAGTGCCACCCATGGCATCAGTTAACAAAGAGCGGAACTTATACACTGGCTCTCTTAATTGTCACATCAGCCTGTTCTAAGCATCTAATGTGATTATATTTGTGATGCCATGCCTTTTTAGCTGTGGGGTTAACAAATTCACAGGCTTTAAATGTCTTTAAAACTTCCATTGCAAACAACCTGAGCTCCCGTTTTATTGGCACATAATAAGGTCCCAATCCACCACCCCCCGATTCTGTTACTACTTGCGACATAGCTCAAGTGTTTTGGCGCACAGTTATTCTCCGTTTATACGAATTGTTCGGGTATGGAATAAACTGTCAACTCAAACAGTCCAAGCTGAGAACATTACTTCTTTTAAATCATTAGCCATAAGGGACATTCAGAACATGAAGACCCCGAACCACCTGAAAAGATTTTGAACTATTTACATTTATTGTTTCTTTTAGACTTTACATAATTTATCGTAGATTATTAGCACTACTAATCAGTTATTCTATATCTCCCAGCGTTAGCCTAGCTATTTGGGAGTATAAGTTCCAAGTTCCAAGTTCCATAGCTGCGCTGTCCACTATATGCACCACTCTGTAACTTGAATTAATAAGTCAAAATAGTTTCTTATTTGTGAATGTTTTGAAGCCTTTATCAAGTGACCGTTTGTTCTCTAATTAACTAAGGAGTGTCTTGAAAACTATTTTATTTGTTTGGCGTAAAGCATTTGTCAAAACTGTCTGCGACCTGAATCCACTCTGTCGTCAGCGATTGTTTCATGACCTGTGCTTGTAATGCCAGATAGATGGCGGACTTTTTAAAAAAGAATAGGCGCTGTCATCATTCTACGTGTACCTGGAGTGCAATGATCAAGGCTCGTATACAAAAGTTGTACCTATGTCCACTACTGCAACATAACAACCTATTTCTTTAAAAAAAGGGGGTAAGTTTCTAAAGAAACTGTAGGTGCTGCATCATTAGGAGAGTACAACGGTATAATTTGGGAATCCTTCGCTCTGACGAAGGGCTAACGCTCGAAACGTCAGTTTTTAAACTCTTTTACGGTGGCCAATTTACTCAGTTGATAAAACTAAGATTAACCCATTTCTTTGATTGATTAACACATCTTAGGGAAAAAGTTATTTGCATGTCAGTCAGCAGTAAGAGACTTCAGCGCCATTTTACAAACAATTGGTGGTCATAACGAACAGGAGCGGGCCAGGTAAATGAACATGTATATTGTTTGAATTGAAATCAGACCAAGTACAAAGTACACTGACTTTTAGTTGAGTTGTTGATACATATTTTCAATGCGTGTTTTGTTTTTCTGTAACCTCGGTTTGTCAGTAGTTTTTTAAGACAAAGAGCTCCGACGACAACAAAAGAGACAACAAAAGGTTTTGATGAAAGATAGTTTTACCCTTCACTGGCCATTGCTGGTTAACTATACCAAAACAAGGACGTAAAAAAAAAAAATAAAAAAATCCTGGATGGAAGGCTGCCAACAAAGTTTTACATGTCTCATTGAAAACCGAAAGTTTACCAGTAATATATAGTAATTAACAGATTGTTGACTAATACCAACCCACAAGGCCAAACAAGTGCGATGCATTTTTCTGAAAATTTTGGAACCACCACGGTGTAGAGTACGGATGACAGAGCACGAGCAAGCGACTACGATCGTTTTGGAACATGGCGAAATTACAGTCTTTTGTGAAAATAGTCCACATTGGTCTGACTGTTGGTGTTTTTCAGGGCTCTCCTTGAAAATGTTACAGTTGTTGAGGATAATCCTTCAACTAGGTCCCTTAGTATGAGCACAAGTGGAAGCATTAAGG